AGTAAATATATTTATACTGTACAGTGTTTTAATAATTCGTTTTGATACGGTGAGTTCAGTAAACGACAAAGAAATTTGAATAAGTACGTTGCAAAACAGTGATGCCATTTTAAATTAGACTGTAAACTTTTAAACACTTAGTCAAGTTTACTGCATGTCAAAACCAACCTTATAGCCTTGAATTATTATTTGTCTTTTAAATTTTGTATTTTAGACACTGATTTGCATGACTGAACTAAACTAACCAAACCACTGTTTTTCAAATTGCTTAATTTTCAATTTCATGCTCCACATCTTTTAGATTCGTCTCTTTCTCCAGCCCTCCCTATCCAGGCTTGTTTCTCTAATAAATGTACTACTATCTCATTTTGCATGTCACATACTTTATTTCTATTTTTGTAAATGGTCTAGGAATAATATTTTTTCTTTCCTTGGCAGCGATTCTGATTACTCTAATTTAGTTGTTCTCTTATATTTCTTTGTTACACCTTTTAATATTCTTAAATATTTTTGTTAAACTTTAGATTTGTGTCCACTCCACGTGCCGCTATTGTAATTTTAATGAAATGTCATAAAAGATTTAATGAATCCCATTTATTCATTAAAGCTGATTCACTGACTCTCTTACATGTTTCTTTTGAAAGTTATGACTTTATCGTTTCATTTGTAATAAATGTCAAGTAACACAATAACAACCACTTAACAGTATTCATTTAACAGTAAAAAAATTGTGTAAAGTCTCTCCTACAAGAAATTTTGAGTACAACTGAGACTACAACGTGTAAAAGTATCCAAGTCTCTGCTAATCTGTTGTTTAATGAAAAAAATATTACACATTATTTACATGACTATATACAAATTGATTTGAGTTTAACAGTGTGAAGTGTATGAATAAAATTATAAACCTTATAATATATTCACAGGTAGGCCAGACGTTGACTTGACATTCGTTCAAAATATATACAAAAGATATCTTGTGTCGAAATAAAAAAATATATCACCAACGATTTACGTAGCAACGACTTCATTATTTACTTTGTATACGTAATCCAACTTCCATATGAATGTGTTAAATAAACAAAAAATATATTTTTCGTCGGTATTTTCAGTGTGCACGTCATATCTCTATAGAATCATAACAATAACCTGGTTCCGGTTATTAAGAGCTAAGTATATAAATAAGAAATAACAACTTGTTTCAACTCAGTTAAGGCAAATTAAAAAAATGATTCGTATTGAAGTGTGCCTGTTAATATTTCTCTTTATTTCACTCGTTGTTTGTCAAAATGCAACAAGTAACATGACTTCGGCTTCAACTACGACTCCTGCACCACCAAAGACAACAGCAAAGCCTGATGTGAGTTCTTTAATAGAAAATCTTTCGAAAAAACATGTACATGTATATATTGATGATTATTTTAAAATTAATAAGACTATTTGACTATACAGTTCATGGCAGACGCTTTCGGTGAAATGATGAAAGTTCCTCAGGACGTAGCCGGAGCAATCGTTGACGTACGTACGATATAACTCACTTGCTGTCAACAGTACAGCGAGAAAAAATATGACTGATAACCCATATCACAAATTTTCATAACATATCAAATAAAATAATAATTCCCTCCTCAAATTTTTTATATTATGTATATTTATAGTAATTGATACTTCTGGTTTCAAATGTCATCAAATAATATGTTTGTCTTTTTACAGCTCACGCAGTCATTCTTCAACATATTTAAACCGTAGTGATATTCTACAAAATTGTCTAAAAATTAATAAATAGAAACGTTTAAGTTATTGTAAAGGATTGTTTTATTTATAACTGACTTTAGTATAACAAAGTAAAATCGTAGAAATCAGGTAACAACTAAAGTGTAACATTAAAATTAGCAATAAAAATGAATGTCATAAAAATATAAAACACTGAAATAAAAAAATGTTAAGGATAAGCCCTAAAAATTTTATATAAGGTATAAAAGTTTAATCCGATGGTCATCCCTCGAGGCGTTCCAATTAATTATATAATAATTGTAACATTATATTTTAGGGGATAATTCAACATATTAAAGATTTCGATTTAGCATTATAAGAGATTATTCCTATGCTCTGTCCCAAGGGACTAGAGTATCATGGCCTAATATTGCTTACGAAACTATTTCAACAATCTACCTTAGCTGGTTTTATGCATTCGAAACCAATTAAACTTAATTATTTGAGGTTTTAATTCAAGTCTCGTCTCGATAAACACCTAGCGGGTTTATCAAAAACATGACAGCAGTACTTCTTGAGAATGCTGACCTTAACTTTGTACCTATAATTAACTATTTAACACGTTTTTGATCACGGGTATATTAATCTTCTCCTGAATACATTTTTTTACGGTTTCTGAGCTTTACTTCCGATAATAACCTACTTGTGTTAAATATAATGTCTTTCAAGAACAATTAGTACTCCTCAAAAAAATATTTGATGATCAAAATGAAGACACAGTATTTGATTAAATATATGTAGGTATATCAATATTTCATTACACTTCGATGTCATTTCCATTTATTGAAGAAAATTAAGCAATATCAACGGAGTTATTTGTTTAACAGGATTTTTAATATTATGAGTATAATTAAGCAGATTTACAACTAACCCATTAAGTCTTTAAACTGCCAAAAGGATTACTATTATACGATTAAAACCATTCATGAGTTTATTTAAAAGAATAAATATTATAGTATAAATATTATTTTAAATTGTAGTATTCATCTTTTCCATTTCGTTTTTTAATAAACAGTGACATCAAAGAAAAGACCCTCCTTTTAATAATAAATCAAATATTTTCAAAGGCAGTATTTTAAAACTGTAAAAAGCATGATAACTAAAGTGTTACCTATTCTTAAAGTTTTATATACATATATCTATAACGGATGTAGTAACTATAATATAAAACAGTTTGTTGGTTTTGAGTGTTGTTACAAATAATAATACTAAATAATATTAAAAATTATACAATTCAGAACACACATCTAGAAAAATTAAGGATATCAATGAATTTCACTCAGGGGACTTTGCAAACACTAAGAAATAAAATAAAATGCCAGAAAGACACTGCCGAATCTTCGGAGAACATTTTATATATTATATCTATATTTTTAAAATTTTCTTTCCTTTATCTCTCAGTCAAATTACAATAGTATTTTGCCTAGTTATTTACATAAAATAAATTATTCATAATTTGAAATCGCATGGTTAAAAAACCCTGAAAACCTTAGCACAAAACAATTTTCGAACAATAAGTTAAAATTTTTAACACTACTATGAGTGCCATAACGTATTAACTAGTTGTATATGATAACTTTAAAAGAGCAACGTGAAGTGAACTAGACCATAGCAAATATGGCTGCTCTAGAGACGGTCCTGTTTATCATTGTTATAATGTTTGAGATTATAGGAAATTCTATGGCTAATACTACTGCTCAAATTCCTGATACTCCTGTCCCAAAGGAATATAAACCAAGTGGTGTAAGTTAAAGTGAATTTATTATTGATTTCAGTTCCTAAGCACAGTATTTTGAATCGATTAAATTCAAATAATTAATAATGTTTGCTTTATTGAAAAAAAAAATAGATTATAGAAAATTAAACAATGCTGTAATTGATTTGTAACTTACGCATTCTTTTTTAATTTTTTTTAATTTCCTTCAAATTCGTTATAAGTAGAATATTTTATTGTTTTTCAGACTTTAGCTAGTTTTGGCCGAATGGTCATTGACCTCCCATTAGGATTGGTTGAAGCTTTTAAAGACGTAAGTAGATCTGATTTTAAGTATTTCATTATTATTCTGTTTTCCTTCAATTTTATTCAATTTATCAAAGTTGACAGTATATAAAATTTGCTTACTTTTAGGGAGCTGAAGCTATAGAGAGTGTTATCTTAGGAATCGTACGTACAATTTTTACTTAAAACCTAAGGCATTTCTATAAGAATTTAATATACAGTGGACTAGTACAGAAATTTTATACGTGGGAACTTTAGATAATATAATCAAATAGAGATGTTGGAGCTGAACTTGAATAATGGACCTGATTCCTATACGATTCTGACATTCCAATATAACCATACATTGTTATTATGATAAAGAACATACAGTTATTTTATACATCTACTAATTATATCTCTATCTTAAGACCTAAAAGGAGAGTATTTCATTGAAATAAATATTAGTTTACTTTATTCAATCACATTTATTTTCTCTTTTGTAAGGCGCCTACTTGAAACAAATACATTACTTGATCATCCAAAACATTAAATATATTCCTACACACCCTAGCCATAAAGCATAGTATATTTCAGTAATATTATAACATTTAGACATAGAAACTATTTAATAATGTTAACAGGAGAACATACAAAATATATTTCATTTATTTAAATAGTGACATCAATAATATTTAAATCGTTACATGTTGTAACGACGATACATTTATATGAAACAACAACACTTCAAAATATTCAGCATGAGTTTTTAGCTTGAAATATTATTTTTTTTAAGGAATGGCAACGATCAAAATTCATATATGTATTACTTATTATTATAAAACTATTTACAATATGTTAAAATGGTGGGGTTCAGTAAATAAATACTGTCACTTAAAAGAGTTATATTATGTAACAATACTAGAATATGAATTTGATTACGTGTACATACAATGTGTATTTTCCTACAACAAAATATCACATCATTTCGTGAACATTCCACTTCACCATTACAATTTTCTCATTTCCATTTATTACAAAACTGTCTTATTAATAAAAGATGGAATAGAGTAAAGATCGAAAAATATCAAAGAATATATATTATACAGAAAGGAAAATACAATGACATATCTGAGATTTCTATTAATACATTTAATCAAATTGATTAGGAGATCAAGTCTTGTAAGAAATTCATCAGATATCCTAGTACAATAAGATGTAAGTAGTGAGTTATTGTGAGAAATAGCATTATTTATTTGACTAGACCATTCGGTACGTTGACGTTGATGTAATTATTGGAATTGTTCTGAGGTTTCTTCTCCAACTCTACATCGAATTTAATATATGTGGGATTAGATACACCGATGTTTTGATTGTTATGTACATTTTTAAAATTGTACTGCTTCGTCTCAAAAACATCGTCGGTTTCTTCATCGATACGTGGACACATGTTGAGATAAGGAGAAGTATTACCATCGTGATCGGATTCAGAACCGCCTCTGGCTGGCAAGTTATTCAAAGTTAATAACTGTGTTAACTCAGAGCCCTGACTATTTGGTTCAGAAACCCTTGGGTTTAATTTGCGTGCATCGAAATCAAATTTGGTGGTCGGTTCTCGTGGACTGAATATAGATCGGTTCGCTGGGCTCATTTGCAAATAGCCTTCGTCGTCTGAAAATGAAGTTATTTATATTTATTAATGTTGTTTCATGAATAATATGAAACATAAACAGAACATGCGTTACAAATAATAGAAATGAAATATAGTTATGATTACATTTGGTGCTACCAACACGTATACCTTCTACTTATTAAAAATAAATATAACATAAAATATTTGAAGATAAATCAGTGAAAAATAATTTTAGGCATAATAAATTATAAAACTAATAGAAATAGAATTAATATCAAATTAAGGAGGTTAGCGACACTGTGTAATAATCAGTAACAAGTAATATTTTGTTAAATTAGTGACATCGACCATGCCATAATGTATTAAATTTTGTACCGTCCAACACGATTTCACATTAGAAGGGAGTGTTTTCAGTTCCGCCTGACAAAGGAAAATAATAGTTATATGTACATATATTCTCCTTTTTCAACAAATTTAAAGTATGTCGATTTGAGATAAGAATTACAGTTAGAAATAAAATAACGGATATCAATAACTTTCAGAAATAGAAATCTTATTTCTCAAAGAATATAAATTAACAGTCTACTTGGCGCCATATTGGCATGCTTCAATACTTAACACTGATATTTATCACATGATGCAAAAATATCACAAATCTTTCTCAATGCGTTAATACGTTCGACTGGCTTTAACGTAAGTTTATTTATAATATCCGAGATTTATTTCATTTCTATGCCAAATCTTTATTTTCTACTATACTATACTATTTAAATAAAATTATATATATTTTTTATTTATACATATTATGAAACTCTTTTACTATACTGAGACCGAATACGTTCAACTGGTCGTAGCTTTCTTAACATTTCTATAAGCTATTGTTTATGCCATCCGTAGTGGAATAATATAGTTTTTGTTATAACAATTTTATATATAAAAAAGAATAATAACAAAATTCCATTAAATCCAAAAAATCGATTTTACATTAATTTTCTTTTAACGTTATACTGTAAAGTACGGAATCAAATAATCATTCTCCAAAAATGTCTTCATTTTTGAAAAGAGCTGATACGTACTGCTGGACCAATATTAACCAAAACACAGGAATAACCGTATTGAGGAAACTGGTTTTGAAAATAAAAAAACTCATTCTAATCGGTCAATGTCTTTGACATCTACAAGACCAAAGAAAAACTTCAATGTCAAACTTTTAAAACTCCTCTAAAAAAAATCCTGTTATTTAGGAAACTTGAAAAAAATTTATCCAGGTTCAAGTATGAATTTTGTATCAAAAATAGCCCTTGTAAAGTATCATATGACAGAAAGAATTGAAAGAAATGATAATTGAACAACAAAATTTTACAGATTGGGCCACACTTAAGTTTTGACCCGAAACAAATGAAACGAAATTATAACGAAATGAATAGGTAGTGTTTAACTTTCAATCTACATATATATTGGCAGGTGAGATTACATCAACCAATGACATTTAGTAGCCTCTTCCTATATGTGACAATAGTGTTGTACAGATGACCCGATCTATTCTTTATATACACAAAGAAGCTATCCCACTGAGAAATACTGGCGTTCTTTTGCACAGGAACGTCCTTCAGATTGCCTTAGCTTTGGACTCAATAATTCACTCAAAGTTAAGGTTCGAGGATACCTCAGTACCCTATAACTGAAAATAATGATATAATCTAAATATATATATTCTGAAAAGATGGATGAGTTTGTGTTGAAGGAGCGATAAATTTTAAACAATTGGTATCTCCCCATTCGAAGGTCTCTCAGAAAGTCAGAAATTTAGGTAATCAAACTAGGAAATTTACTAAAATTAAAAGCTTACTAAGAAAGACATCATGCCAGACCCATACAAATTTGTCCAAAGAAATATTGCTTTTCAACCCAATCTGCTGACTTATGCTGACCGCCACATTGTACCATAACCCTCGTGATTAAGTTGAGAATAAATCGATAAAAGTTTAATAAGACCTACCCGAAAATCACCAATAGACCCTTACTTGTCTCCTGGTCACCGCTGTATGATCGGTAGACACTGAAATAAACTATTTTGTGCACACTTGTGTCAAACAGCATAAAAAGGGTAAAATATGTGGATTTTTCAATGGTACGAAGACGTTGACAGTAGATGTCACTGTGGGTAAACTCATTTTACAGCACTACAAAAAAATAACAGTTAAGAGTGTAGCCAGGTTATATAAGGTCGCGTTAGCTTACTAAACCAAAAACTATGTCTTAAAACTATGTCTATGTCTATGTCTTAACATAGAATCTGCTGCTCTGCCCAAAAAAGCAAGTGCAGCTTAGTAATAATTTAGGTAGTCATGAACTGGCAAGAGATTTCATTCTATTTATTTTATATTTTCGTTATCCTTTCTTTTTCATAGTGAAAAATAAATATGGAGGTTTTGAACTTAAACGAGGCCTTATAATTGTATTCAAACAATAGGGCCAGACTTGTTGTTCTAATGAGGCTTTGATCCGGAGACTGCAGCTCAAATTAAAAATAAAAACAAATATCCCCATTAATTCTTTAATCCGGTCACCAAACAACCCGATGAGGCTACCTTTGTTTTAAACACAAATTAGTAACAAACTCCGTTTAAGCCATAAGGCAAATATCTTTCAGACAGATTCGTAAGACAACATACCGAAAATTGACAAGTCGCATGCCCGCATGACTTTTTCTGATAAACAAGAGCGTGCATAGAGATTTAAGATGGGTTGAGCAGTATACATGAATGAAAAAAACTTACTTATTTTTAAAAAAATCGTGTTATTTCAGTACTTAATAACTTATTATTAAGTAACATTTAATAGCATTAAAGCTGCCTTAGGGTGTCTTAATACCTTCTTTGTTAACAATTTCAATTATAATTGCAACTCTTAAAATAACGAGTGGTTCATTTCATGGCAAGGACTTTCAGCTACTGTCGTTGAGTTTTTAAAAGGTTGTTTTATTGTCATGTCATGTCATGACAACAAAATGTTGTTTTATTGTTTTTCCATAAAGCTTAAATCCATCGGGGACATCAAGGACTTTTATATGAAAAGGAAAATCAAAAAGAAAAAATATTACATTTCACTTGAAATCATAGTAGTGTATAATAAATCAAACAGTATTAACATGAACTTAATAAGATATTATGTAGCATTGTCACTCAAGACCCACAATAATAATGTATATAGTAAAAATTTTAAGTTGTGAAGTAAATTAAATGCAAATGAAACAAAACCATAATGTTTTTTTAGTGCTAGCATTAATTTCTGGATGTATTTTAAATATTGTTATGTATCTTTAGATATACGAGTAACGAGTATTGTTTTTGGGCCTATTCGTAGGTTATTGTTTTAACTCAGGATTTGATCCTACATATTTCGAAGCAACTGTTAGAAATTATGCTGTCCTTATCCTGAAATAACCAAGTTTATCATTCTGTAACAAGTTAATCATACCGTCACAACGGGACGGAGATGCTTTTTATGACATAAAATTCTGAGTCCGACTAAACTATTTGCGGTTTTTAGCCAACAACACAATTAAAGATGTAACCAAAATTTGTTTTTCGCCAGGAATCACATTTCTATGAATAGCTTACTGGGATTGAGATGTAAATTCATAAAAGATTTATTTTGGACAACATTTTCAATCTTTACTGAAAAAAAAACCCTGGTTAAAAAAACAAAGTCCACGTTTGATTTATAAAATCTAATTTATATATAGCTTGATTGACTTGGAAATGGAAAAGATTGACTTCCTGACGTAATAAAATATTCTATTATTTAGCAATGCCATAGCGTGAATTAATAAGATTCTTTCTAATAACATTAAGATGGTATTAAAAATGAAGAGTAAATTTATCAACGCAAGTTAAATCCAAGAACATAATTGGTTTTATATGAGCTTTACAGAACTGGGCTTCCCATGAATCTACTCTTTACGATTCGTATGCTTTTTTCAAGAATAAATACGAAATAACAACCAAAAAGTTTTAATACCATCCATATTAGCTTAAAATGGTATAAATAATAACATAAAATGGACAAATTACAAAAACGCAATAATATAAAAGAAAGAAAAATATGTATTTTAATTACTTAACCAACGTACCGTGCTGAAGCTGAGTTGGTGTAGATGGGAAAAAGCTTCTAGCGTCGTTGACGTAATGATGAGGGCTTGGTGTTACCATATTATTGTAATCAGGAGCGCAAACCATTGCTAAATAGTCCTCTTGACCTTCTGTCTTCACATTCAAGTCCATGTAGGCCGAGTTTAAATCAACATAGTGCTGGTACATAAAAAAGAAAATGTCACAAAATTGTCAAACTCTTTAATTTAAGTTTTATTTTAAAGCATTTTTTACGAAATTCATTATTTTTTGCACCACATTTTATATAAAAAGTTTTAATGTAATAATTACAAACAATGCTTACATTGCGCACGTTATCTTCCAGGAAAGAACCAAGAATTTCCTGTAGTTGTGAGAAATTAGGTCTTGCTGTAGGCTTTTGTTCCCAACAACGAAGCATAACGTCGTATAAGCGATCGTCAGCATATTGGGGTTTATCCAAACGATTTCTGTAACATAGTATATATACTGTTACATTAACTAAATAAGATGGTAGTTGGTTACAAAATACAAATTTATTTCAGCTAACGTCTGTTATGTATTTTATTGATTAGTCTGGGAGCCCCAGTAATAATACGTTGGATAATGAAAGAGCACAACGAAATAAAATCTTTATATATGTTAATCAAGAAATTATTTTATTTATAGACACGTGATTATAACATACTAGTTAAGTCACATTAGCCAGCACCACATGACAAAAAGTGTGAGACCGACTGGTTTAACTATTGTTATTTTTTCTGCGTCTACCCTTATGATTACAATTAGGATCATATAATTTCTTTTATTAAAATACTCTGATATTTTTTTGAATATTTAAATGTAATTATAAGAAAAATATTGAATACTTTTTATAATCAAAGAAATACTGACCCATTGCTAAGCCATTCTATGAGGTGTGCAGGACTTATGTTAGGGTAAGGAGTTTTGGCTAAAGAAAACAATTCCCATAACACAATACCAAAAGACCAAACATCAGACTGCGTCGAGAATATTCGGTCAATCATGCACTCAATCGCCAACCATTTAACAGGTAATGGCCCCTAAGAATAATATAAGGTATATTATATTTAAATGTGAAAAGAAAACAGATTCATAAAAAATATTAAAATGGCTATAAAGACTAACATCTGCTTGCTTCTTGTATTCGTCATTTTTGTAAATGCTTCTGGCTAAACCAAAGTCGCAAATTTTTACGATATTATCCTCCGCCAATAGAACATTTCTTGCTGCTAAATCTCCATGAAGAACCTGCAATGAACACATCGAATATTAAATTTACTTAAAACAAATATGAAAAAGTGAGAATTCTGTTTAGAACTTACAAATCGTATCATAAGAACTTTATTAATAGTACTGCAATGAAAGAAAAGCATTTTTGAAACTTTATTTAAAAGTCGAACAAACATCGAATCATATTGTACTTTATAGGCGTATGTACAATGGACGTTGCAGTCAAGCCAAGATATACAAAAGATATATTATTGAAATAAACTGAGAAATGGATTAATAAATAAATAAAGCACGGATATCCTGAGATGAGTCAAACCTTGAGAAGATACTAGTTAACAAGGATTTACTGACCTTTCTACTTGCTAAATATTCCATTCCTCTAGCAATTTGAAATGCCCAAGCTAAGAGATCTCGGGAGGTGAGAGGGCGTGGGCTGCGGCCGTCATAATTGTAGTCGCCTTCATAATTGGATCGCCATTCCGGTTGGACGTATCCTGTCTCTGATACTGTAATTAAAAAAAAACAATAATATAACTTCTAATCATAACATAATGAATATAAATATCTTGGGTTAAATAAAACAAAACATTAATGCAATTATAAAACTTTATAATATTAACGGGTGATACTATCGTTGCATTCACTTAAAGTTAATTACTTTTCACGTACATAGATGTTTACATTATTTGATTCCATAATTAATATTTACATATAATCGAGTCGAACCAAAACCGAATGTCAATCAAGGTTGCCTAAGTATGATTAGAAATAGATAAAGAAGCGAAGAAGACTTGATAGACAATACATTTCGTCTTTTTATGAAGATGGTTTCATAAAAGTATATAAAACTCGCTTTAATAATAGTTTAAAAAAAATGAATGAAAATCAATAGTCATACCTTACAAACAAAGTTATATACATATTACATGATATTTTTTACATACATATTACATGATGACATTGCATATACATGCATATGATTTTATATGATTATGTCATTCAACTTCCATTATTTTTCAAAGCTAGAGAATCCTTTAGGAAATGTAATGATTACAGAAAACTCAGCTTTACTATTATGTGCTACGATAATTTTTCAACAATTTCAAATGACCTTCAAGAATTCATGACAAATTCTAATAGCCTTACGCCAAGTTCATTCATAAAAAGTATGAACATACAAATCTATTTACAAAGTGACCAAGTGAAAAACATCATGCAATTCAAAGTCCAAAAGGAAAAACAAAAATATAATGTGGTGTTAAAATAAAAAGATATGTAGCGTATGAAAAACAGAAAATAATTATCATAAATAAGTAATATTATATAACGTGCACTTCAGTGTTGACAAGGAAAAAAGGACATCTGTTACCTCCAACGAATTCCACTTGTTGATTAGCATTATCTGTTGTAAAACGTATGTACTATCAATATTTGTAAATATTATATTTAGAGATAAAACTAATGATTTTATTACGTTATGTATTTTACATATTTGGTGTATTCGTGAGTTACTTTTGTTTAAGATAAATTGAAGACTTTATAAAGATATATTATATAACAGCAGTGGTGTGATATCAAGTTTATTTATTTATTATATACTACGCCATAACTGAAATAATTATATAAGTGACTAATATTCTACCTTTCCTTGCAGATCTGTTTGTGTTCGCCGTATTAACAAACGTGTGGTCTGTGTTTTGAGAGTGGTTGGAACTAAAATAATCCGAATGCATTCTGAAATCAATAACAGTAAACATTAAATTAACTAAACATAGGTAAAATATATAAAATTCGTTCTGTATTTAATGAGACTTATTGTCATTTAAGTTTTGCATTCAATTAAAATATACTCACCCACTACTCGCGGTACTGCTGGAAAAGGCTCTATTTACTTTCCCAAGATTCCTATCTTTATTTTCAGTGAGTTGATCTATAAAAACTTCTCTGTGTCTTTGCATGTAGTTATGTATGTTGCCAAACTTACAGTATTCCACGATTACAATCAATTCCCCTGAAACATAAACAATGACGTCATTAGGCTATTAACGCCGCGTGAAGAAAAATGGAACAGACGCTAAAGGTTAGTGCAGACGAATTTATTTCATAAATAACAGTAAAGCTTTATTCAAATCTATATTTAAAGAAGCTACTATATACTAAATATTAAGTAATATTATAATCTGTTCGCAATATTTTAACATTTACAATTAAATAAGGTAATGCTCTGCATTCCTTCTTAATTTATTCAATAGTTTATGAAAATTTGTCTGTGCTGTCCTATTCCGTCATTCGACTAAATTAATTACTAAAACACTTGCGTCGTTAACAAAAGTGCGTACACAGTATACATACTAATTTATTACTAGAGGAATTACAGCTATGTCTGATTTTATACGTTCTACATGACGTTGTTATTATTTTAACTCACATATGAAAATTATATTTTGCAGTTAAATATTTATATTAGGTGGTATGGTTTATAGATAAATTTACAAGGTCATACATATATAATGACTTCGTACTTTGACAGCATACGTGTATCTTAACTATTTTATATAATTATGAGCTCAATTACGTTAGTAATATAAATGTAGATATTTTGGTGTTTACTCATTCAAAACATATTTACTTGAATCAATTTGTGTCATGTCTACAATAATATTTAAAATTGATATATTTTTAAAAATACAATTTTATTATTTATCATAAATAACGATAATTTCAAAAATTGTTCCTTTGTAAATCTTCATACATAATCAAACCTAATTTTTTTTTAATTTATATAACCTTAAAACGTTGAAATTCTTTTGTTGTCAATGCAAGTAGGTACTAAATATATTATGATCAGAACCACTTACGTTTCCCAACATTTTTAGTACAAGCACCTAATAAGTTTACTATGTTAATGTGTTTTCCAAGGTGGACCATTATCTTCAGTTCAGAGGCCAGTGCCTTTATATACATATTATCGGCTGTTTTCTTCACCATCTTGACGGCGACTGGAGTCGTTTCTTCAGCGTTGATGATACCCCTGGCTTCAGCTTTGTATACAACGCCGAAAGCACCTGCTCCCAATTGCTTACCTGTAATAGAAGTAACATTAACATCGAGGTGTAATCCTTTTCATTCACGTTACTCTGTAGTATTACATATAAATTAAAATTTTCATTTTATTTTCTATTTCTGACAGAGCTATTACTTCATATGCAATCCATTTATTTAATTATAGATTTACATACTTAAATATTATTATTTTTTTAATTTCTGGGGAAGATATTCATATCTAATTAATTCTATATAAACCTACCTAAAATAAGTTTTTCAGAAGGGAACTCAAATCTTTGGTTGTAAGGTAAGAGTTCCGCCTGTTCGTCGATCCCAAGCTCCGGATTAAGGGATCTAGTAACACCTTCATTGAAATTTAGTAAACCAGCCTTCGCCAATTCTCTCTTAAATTGTTGCTCCTCACGTCTTTTCCATATCAAATATGTCATTAATAAAACAAGTAGGAACACCACAACAGCAATTATACTTAAATATATTGCCGAGCGATAGGTATATTTATCTGTAACAACAACGTTGGTGTCAGTCAATTACTAAACAAATTTACAAGATATAATTTGTATACATTAATAATAACCTTTTAATACGACATTGTATATGCCACTCGTAATTTGACCACCGCTTTCCGCAACACATTCGTATTTCCCTTTATAATCTTCCAGCATTTGCCTTATATCAATGGATGAATTAACTGTGGTTTGATTAAGGTTCTCAGTAAATATTTCCACATTGCTGTTATTCAACAGATATTCTCCATCCTATAATTAATGAAAAATTAATTAAAACAAGAAAATTTATAAAAAACGAATAATCCTTGAAAATAGGTTATTTATTTCAGCTTGAAAAACAAATTTTTAACAGATAATTTATGAACCCAACTTTTGAATAGTTTTCCACTATTATATTTTAGAAATTATACATACATATTTGGATACTCATCAAATCCAAATTCATGCTCGTCACCATTTTCTTGTAAAATTTACTAAAAATTAGCCTACAATTGGAAAATGAAGAAACATAGAAGAGATCGATACTTAGACTATTATATAATGAATATATTTCAAACTGAAGCAACCAGCGACCGATCAATCGAGCAACTATCCTAAAAACTAATCTTCCAATAAAAGTAATGACCAGTTTGTAGTTTAATAGAGCGACTATTCACCCCAACACCCTAGTAACCAATTGTACAACCAATTTAAAAAAAACACTCGGCTAAGTACACAAATATAGCGTCTACCTATTAATTTACAGATACCCCACAGTCGATCAGTCGGTAATTAAAAAATTCTATATTCATTTTGTAAAAAAAATACCGTCTATTGCATTTAGACAGATCTTACATAAAACAACCTTGATGTTAAAATCACAACAAAATACAAACAAAAAAACCGCGATCTCACGGCGAGCAATGACCAGAGGCACAAATTCTTAACCAAGGACAAAAAACATTGAGGATACAGAAGTTTTTAATCTTACATAATAATATTAAAATTTAGTAAATGACTAAAAATGCATAGCAAGATAAACTAAATTTGCAATCAATATTTAGAATATGATTTCTTTGAACGAAAATATTAGCAACATTCTCACCAAAAAAGTTCAAATCCTCCATAAACAAGATAATATTTGCACGTTATTACTGACTAAGTCATTATTACTAATTTCCAGATTTACATATATAAGAGTTTATTTAATCATAATTATAGTACATTACCTTATACCACGTTATTTGAGGCGGTGGTACAGCGCTTGCTTGGCAACTAATTCTAATTGGTTGATATGGGTTTACTTCGAGTTCCATCTTTTTATTCGGTTGAGTTACAATAGGAAGTCGAGTTTCTATAATGATTAAAATTTATAAAGTGACATATTAAGAATATTATTGTGAAGGTCTCGAAATCCAATCATTTTCAAGAGTCATACCTGCCACTGTAAGGTTTATCATTTGTTTCTCTTCCGAGTTTTCTTTATATCCAACACAAGTATAAGTACCCGCATCTTCAACCATAATGCTGTTTATTATTAACTCGGCTATATATGAAAATTCTGACTGCAATACCTTAATTTCTGTAATATAAAATTAGTTTTATTATATCATATAATAAAGATATTTTTACTATTAGTGTAGATGATAGTTATACCATGACCAGTGATTTTTTCGTCCTCGTGCCGACGCCATGTTACATTGACAAAGTCGTACTTAGAAGCATAGCATCTGAAAACAACCTGTTGACGTTCGGGGAACCAAGTGTCGTCGCTATTCTTAATACCAAAACCTCCTGCTATCTCATACACAAGAAATCTTCTTGTGGAATCCGTGGTGTTCATTCCATTAAAGGCGTGGCACGTTATATTTCCCGATGTACGAACATTAAAAGTGAGGTAAGACGTCACTTTTATTAGAGACTCTTCAATATTTTGTGTCGCCTGCAAGAACAATCGTTTCAAATGAAACTTACTCAAATTAACGTTAGGTTTAAAACTTGTCTATACCACACCCGAATTGTTTGTTCTCCGCCACGTTTATCCGTAAATATCCACTCAATGGTGGGTAAAGGATACCCAATCGCTTCACATTTTAACGTTGCCATTTGATGTATCTCATATCTTTTATCCGTTTCTGGTCCAAAGTCCACAATTGGTGCGGCTATATTCAAATCAAATGTGTTATTATTTTCAACAACAACTTTATGATCCACAAAGTACAAAAGCGACAATATGTAAGAATAACATGTAACTACTATAAACATGGAAATCAGACTTAATATTTTATTAATGTACTTATATGACGCAAACAGACAATTATACCAAAATCAGTTTGGTTTTGTATTCTACGTGATTTAGTAAGGCAAAAATATACACTCAAGACTCCCAAAAATCTTTAATTTAATTTTACATATTTAAGATAGGTATACAAATATGCATTCACTGTTACACTAACCTTTTTTTCGAATGTCGTACGTAACATTCTTAGTGACATCCTTATTACTGGCAACTAATGTATAGTTGGCTGTATCTGATATATTTAAATTTTTTATGTGTAATATTATGGAACCTTTCTGTCTGCTCAATTTGTATTTTTCACTCTCTACTGGCAACTTATCATTGTTTTTCATTCTAGCAAAAATACAACAGAAGTTAAAACAACAATTCCATGTAATGACAATGTAAGAAACAAATTCCTTCGTAAACATCTTAATAATAGACGGATTTTACAAAGGAATTCCAATTATTAACAGAAATACAGTATAAATAGACTTTGTTTGTTTAATATTTTTTTGCACGAAGTTTTAGAATATTTTACTTTATCATTATTAATCAACTAGAAAACCTGGCGAACTTCGTATCGCCCTATAATCAAGAAATATCTATTACGTTTTTTTATTTATATTTTTGGAGTTTACCTGTGAGCCCTAAATCTCCGTGTTTTGAAGTACGACAGAATGATTGACATATTAATTAGTTGTCAAATCTAATGTCAAAAAAAACGTTTGTATGGGAAATAGAAAAGGGCTGTTTTTATGGTTTTCCCAGTAATGAATCATTTTTTTTCAGCTTTTATACCTTCCCTGAACCTCCACGAACATTTCAAGACTAAGATAAGATAAATCCGTTCAGCTGTTCTCGAGTTTTAGCGAGACTAAGGAACAGCGATCCATTTTTATTTATATATAAGAAAAATAACATACATAATAGCTGATTGTTCATTGATTTTAAATGTTTTCTCTAAATATCATGTCCAAGGGAAGATACACTTTTTAATTTCTATATAGTTGATGTTCTTATTGGAAAATAAGTTCAATAAACATAACTTACACGTAATATGTAGATGGAGGATAGTCTTCGATTTGATATTGAAGTTTTATAGAACCTTGTTTGGTTTCTAGTGGACCATCTCTGCTTTTCCCTTTTGTGAGAATAATAAAACCGTGTTTACCTAAACAACATAAAGGAGATTAATTTACATGATTTAGAACCTGAAAAAAATTATGATTTTTTTTATAGCTCCACCTTTAGGACAATACCTTTGTAGACTTTTTTGGTTGTTGTTTGTTGTTTGCTGTTGCTGTTTTTTGATATACAAGTGTAATTTCCTTCATCTTCCTCAGTTGCGTTAACTATGGTTATATGGTAATATAAGATACCGTCAGTGACATTTTGTTCGTTCGTGTCGTTTAAAATTAGGCCCTAAAAATGTTACATTTATTCGTACACAAATTTATATGTTCATTTTAAATGTTATGTTTTTATATATATAAATAAATAAATCATATGTGATTTGACATGAAAACCTTTGATTTTAGTCTCGGAAAAGTCCATTGTAACATGAGCGGAGGCTGTGATGTTACTGTGCAATTCATAGAAAAGGTTTCACCCTCCAAGAAATATATGGAGTCACTTTGGATGGTAGGTTTTGGAGCCTCTGCATTTTTAGCTAAAATGAAAAAATACAGTAATAATAATAAGAAATCTATATCCTAACACCGTCTCACATAGATTTTTCAAAACAATGTTTTTTTTTTCTACGAAATGCTGCACGATTATTTATTTATAAAATATTTAATGATAAATAAACATATTATATAATATTCAATTAAATTAAGGCAGAATCATTTAATCATAATCTAAATTATTTTGAAATATTTGAATATTTGACAACAAAATATTTTGATAAAATTTATTATACATTAAACGAACGGATGTAATGAGACGGAAGGAAGGCACACAACGATTAAAAGTTCAAAGAAAAGATAAGAATATTATAACATTATACATAAATACAATATCATTGCTTTTCATTTGTAATTTAGAAGTTGAATAATAATTAGCTTACTTCACCGTGCAGTATTTCATAACTTTAATAATATAGTAAACATTTAATTTATGTTTTATAATAAAATAAATCACCTCATTAGGGCCCCTTAGAAATCTTAAAATTATACTAATATCATTATTCAGTCTTAATATTTCATTTTACGATAATTTTAAGAGTTCCTATTCTATTTCTTCACATAAAAGTAACGTACGGGACCCAGAGCTTGAATTAAAAACTTACAATCCCATTTCGCACTGGCACAAACTACATGAGATATAAGGTTTAAACATTAAACTACTGTAAAATTCACACTTAAATTAAAATTTTATGTTGTATACATTTACATACTACAATTAATAGCAGCCTCTAAATCATTCTCATATCAGATTAAATAGATATAATATGTAAGATATCAATGCATTTTTGTAACACTATACTAAAACTGTGTCTCTTAGTTGAGTTTTATCTTTTTGCATGCCAAAACTCTATGTTTCACGCGAACACGTGCCAAGATAAACAATTTTGTTATGAATGGCATATCTTAAATAATTATATTTATCCTCCAATGAGTATTGTGCAGTGTTTCTTTATTTTCCTCAAACACAAACATTACCAGTGCGAACGGGGTCAAATAAATAATAACTTAAGCGTTATTCATAAATAATAATTCTTTAAACACGAATGTATAAAATAAAAAACAAAAAAAATTAGTTTGTTAGTGAATTAGTTATATATACAATACGTGGTTGTGCACGCAGAGCAACACAAAAAATTAGAAGAGAGAAGAGAAAGTTATATCAAAAGCAACAAGCCATCGAACCGACCAACAGATTAAAACATTTAAAGACTAAGTGAAACCTTCATACCACGCTACCTTGTTATGCGACATCAAGAGGGCATCACTATCTACTTACTATAAACTGTATTAACTCCGAGAAACTTCCACGAGGTGAGGTTTCCGCGTTGTCCAATGCATTTGTAAGAATTAATTTTCACTAAAAATCCAATCTTTGGGGAGTATGATAAAATTTCTGGTGTCTTGTTACTCTGCAGCTAGTATCGTATTTCGAAATAAATAATGTGTTGTTAGTAAGAATAAATACCTCGTTATTATGTTTTTCAATTTCAATTTAATATTTCTTAATTTGTTGGTTCTATTATGAAGAAGATTTCAATTATATTATATTAAAAATTATAAAAAACTGAAAAACATAAGCTACAATCATCACAATCAAATATATATTTTTATATTTATTTTATTCCGTGCATTGCTTGCAGGATCATAATTATTTTCTAAATGGTTCAATTGGGATGACTGGAGCACGCAGGCTTGGGTAAATTTACACATCATCTAATCACCTACGTTTATTTACAAAAACTTCGATCTTTCTTTCTAAGTTTCGCCTCATAAAGTTACATTTGAAAATGCTCATTGGGATATCCAAGAGGGCATCACTATCGAAGGCAAACCCGATCTTAGGGCTAAAACTATATTGTTGGGATTCACTGTCTGCAAATTCCTGAATATTAAGAATGTTGTTATAAAATTATCTAAAGCAATAATATTCTCATTGGATCATGCCTTTGTTACTTTTTGGTCACAGCACTAAGCATTAGTTTTTGAATCAAAGCCATTATGAGGCAACGCCATATCCTAATTATAAAATAATATACATTGCCCCATTAGACTTAAATCGATATCGGTTAGATACGTAGATTAGGCAAATTAGAACCATGCACACACTACAAGCAATTTCTTTGCTAATTCATTCAATTAAACATCTTTTATTCGGAAGCACAAATTTTAAATGTTTATTCACTTGTTTTCAATTTCGTCTCTATTAAATTAATTATTATTTACACAATACATACCCCTACGAGAGTAACATTTATATCCGGTGTCGTTGGTCTACATTCGATTACGACCATGGACCCGCTTCTCGACATTACAACTTCCCTCATTGGTGCAAATAAGCTATTGGTCTCTAAAAGTTATACAGGTAATCATTGATACGATTTGCAAGATAGAAAGTTACTACACGTAAGGTATGCTCACCGTCGACGTAGACGTATAAGTACGTTACGTGTTTGGTATTAACTGGTTCATGCATTAAATTACTCAGAATGTCTTTCACATTTACAGTATTATCAAAACAAGCATAATAGCCGACTGCAAATTGATCAACGTTGTATAAATCTAAAGCGGTCTCAAATTCATACTGGTCGTCAGAACTTGTCACGTTTCTTTCGATCATTACGAAGGATTCGATTATTTCCTCCGGTATTTCTTGTTGTTTAATTTGTACTGGATTGTTTGATTTACAATAAATTGTAAAATTTTGACCCTTTTTCAATATTATTTCACTTTTCGATGGAATTATAACCGGGCCTCCTATTTCTTTAAAATCTGAAAGCATTTAAGGCCTATTTAATAAATATTATAATATAAGAAAAATAATTAATGTAGATAAATAATCATAAAATATGCGAAACGCAATTTTCCATAAAACTTAAATTGAAACGTACAATCAATTCGAACTAAAGAATTATTGAAAGACAAGTGTTGATTACTTTGCAAACTCATTGTTAGTAATGACGTATATTCATTCAATAATGCAACCGCACCTAAGTCTGTTAAATATAAAGAGTATGAGCTTTTGCCAGTAAACTTCCACAGTTCATTTGTCAATGTACATATATGTAACTTAAACCTATGAGCAGTTAATCATGTAGGGAGGATAAACATGAACAACCTTGTCAAGAGTTAATTTACTGTCTCAATCGAGAGAGTAAATAATTATAACGATGTTGACAAGTAACTCAAGCTTATCATGATAATGGTATAAGTAACATGAGCTTGGGTACTGTGACGATGTGCCTATAGCACTGTTAATTAATGAGCAGTCAGGGTGCGCCGAAGGCGTAGTCGACATTGGGAAAATTAATCCTACCCCTACAAATGTCACCTAAAGAATATAATATAGAAGCACTTAATATAAATTGATTCTATCCAACAGTGGAAAACTAACCAATTAAGTAATCAGGATCCTATGGTTTTCTTATTACGACTAATTGTATAGGTCAAGTAGCTTTAATAGAGCGATGTCTATGATATTAGATATTTTGTTTAATGTGCCGTAGAAAGTGCCAATAAATAAATAACTTAGAGTAAGATTATTTAAAAAAAAGTTTAATAAAAATGCATAACAAGATATAAACGATCCTCTTTAATATCAAAGGATGTCCCTGTTAAGATATCAGAATGCATCCTGTTTCTAAAAATTAATGTGTAATGAGGCATTTCCTTTGTATATTAAGAAAACAGTGACGGTCACACACTATCCCAACTGTTACATAAAATAAAGCATCATCCGTTAAGTAATGGAAAACAGACGAGATTAACCTTATTTAATTTATAAAGACAACAAGAATGCTCAAATAGGCGGTTTTATAAGCTTCTGTTCGATTATTAATTTTAATTTTGATCTGAAAGAACTCTCTCAATTACTTACTCTATTAAAATAAAATTTAACCTGTATTTTTATGATGACTTCAAAAAATATGAAGACTTACGTATGCTAAGGAATAATTGTGTTTATATACAAGGAACATATCTTTCCTTGTGTTATTTTCGTTTTTCATTTTATTGATTTTTACAAATTTATAAATTTTATTTCATGAGGAATTTTATGGAATAAGAAAAAATCAAAGTTTTAAATAAATATAAATTTCAAAAAACTTCCAATTTAAAAACATAACTTGATTTTACATAATAAATGAAACTATAACTTCATACCGCAATGGAAATAGAAATAGTGTCTAGTTTAAAACAGTTTTTTCTGAAGAGTAAGGTTAATAATTCAATAAAAAATCAATTACTTAAACTTCGACACAAAAACGTAAGAAGCTTGCTTCTATATATTTTATAGAAGTATTATCTATTGAATACTTAAACAGCATTTTTATACAACTAACTAGAGACGAAACCTCTCAGCATTTCAAGGATTCACCTTGCGGGTGCCGGGTCCATCGCGTTGCAGGGAGAGGAGCTTCAACAGTGCCTGGGACTTGCGACCCAGGTCTAGGTTTAAGGGGCTTCTATCTAACGCGCGTTAAACGCTCACCTCCACTGTCTACGCTCCTCTTCCTACCTAACCAAATTTGAAAAGAACATACTAGGGCTGCCTTCGAAGTGCGTTCCAAGAATGTACCTATTAATGTGAGTTCTGGACAAGCCCAAGTCTTTTAGTAGGTTGTGGAGAGATTTAGCTGTTATACCTCTCGCTCCCACCTCTATCGCGTACAAATCAACGACGAACCTATTTCGAGTAAGTTTATTAGTGAACTCGTAATATTTATTGACCTTGATGTTAATTCTTTGGGGATGTTGGTTTCCCTAGGAACCGTAAGATCTATCATCACTATGCGCTTTTTAATTCGCGAATACAAAAAAAATCTGGTCTGGAGGCCGACGCTCAAATATTCTCGGGATTTTGTATTGTTTTTCATACGTGTCCGTCATTATAGTCCAATCCAAAACCGCTTTATGGATAGAGAAAGGCTAATGCCTTCTCTCACAAAACCTACTAATCGTTCGTTTGTGGTTATTATTCTTTGCGCTCTGGCTACCGAAAGACTATCACTGCGTTGACAGTAACGTCATTTTAATAAAGATTGAGTTTTTTTTTACATTTTGACTCTTAAAATTTCAAATTAAATTATTTACTTATTTATTACAATTAAGTTGGTATTTTTTAAATATATGTCTAAGTTTTCACAGTGTCTCATAAACCCATATTGGTTTTTTCGTACATTATAAGTACATTATAAGTACATTATAAGTACATTTATAAGTTCTGAACAGTGTGAGAGCAGAAAAAAATATTGTTGATAACTACTAACTTCTAGACTTCATTAATCATTCTTTTTAAAAAAGAACCATGCGAAAAAACGACCACAATTTTTTTGAGTTATTTTTATTAATATATCTGCTTCCAATTTTTCTTTACAGTTTCCAAAGCGATCTTTTCTAAGGTATTGTTAAGATAATGTTTTGGTAGATAAAATTCAAATTACGATAATGACTTTTAAAGTAGCCATGAACATTTGTATAAAGCTTTTATAGATAAATTATAATATTAATGGGGTATATTTTTTATTTTCCTAGCACAATAAAATCTGACAAAAATATTACCCAAAAAGCAAACACAGCACAAAATAAAAATACTTCCTCCTCTCTTATTAGGTTATTTTAATGCTTCTATTTTACAAATGTCATAACATCTGGAACATGTCCTATACACGTGAACAGATCTTTAGTGACACATGGCTAAAAGAAATGTACAGTTATAGAGAAGAAGAGTGGAGTTGAAAACGATTTTATGAAAAAATTGTAATTGAAAGAGTTTTGGGGTTTTGTTGATGAAAAAATATATTACCTTTATCCACTTACATATCTGTTTTTTGTCAAAACTTTTTCCTTCGAAAACAAAAATATTGAGTGAAATTTTGCAGTGTCTAAGCGAAAGATATAATTTCTCTATCATACAAACAACTATTGAGGAATATAAAGAAAACTAAAAAAAAAGTACTTTGTACCTACAGCTGTAGCTTAAGAACCTGTCTTTAGTTCACATATTATTGGGTTATTTATTTCAATGAATGTTAAACTTACTATCTCCATGCCGCTATAATTAGACTTGATTATTATCAAGATATCATGTCTGGCTGGCAAAAAATGGTTAACTATGTGACGTCATTCTAAATCCAATATGGCAAACTCCCAAAGAATACTAGCTATTTTAACGCCACTTCATAATACGTTATCATTTAATTATTCACTGAAAGGATTTTGATGGAGATGATTGAAAGAATTATGGATTTATAATAAAAACATTTTCTTAGAAACATTACTTGCGAATAAATGTTTCTTATATAATATATTCAAACAAGAAGAAAAGCGAAAAGAATTTTCGTTTCATTTAAAGTAAATCATTAATTTATAGTTCCACGTTACACTTGTCTTAAAAATAATTATTATTTACAACTCTGTACTGTCGTTCAATAAATTCAGAAAGTATAAAAAGGGCTTTATCAAACAAACATAATGGAAATATCATAATGCTTCACTGTCATCCTTAACCCTTTCAAATTCTTATGACTTTTGTCAAATATCTTGATATTATTCTCCAATAAAAGCTAGCACGTACCTAGTTATAAATACACAAAAAATAATATTCCGAGACCTTGTATTGTTAAAATAATTTATTCACGAATGGAAATAAATATTAATCTGCTTACAAACACGGACTAACCTTGTAAAGGTCACTGATTTAAAGATCTTATACACGTTACAGAAACGCTTAGGCGTTTGACATATTATACAATATTATGTTTCACTTGCATGACTTTGAAAATACGTGTTAATATTATATGTTTATTTATTCTTACTATGATCTTATATGTACATATATTTGTCATGCTTATTTAGTTTTTCTCAGATTTAACAATATTAATTATAATTTCTTAATTATTATTTTTTTAACGTTTTGTGTCTTTTATTATTACAATACAAAAGAAAAGAAAGGTAGAAACAACCGCAACAACCGTGGTAACATTTTTAGGCTTAATACCATCAAAAGTTTAATTGTGGTCTTTACTTCAAGAAATACGAACGGGTATGACAACATCTCAATGAAGATATTAGAAGTCTAACAACCAAACAAATATAAATAAATTACTTGTAAAATATTTATTCAAATTACGAACAACGATAAATGAAGTTATTTTAAGGACTATAATTTTTTTTATTAAATGCCTGCGAATTAGACCTCTTGCTCCTTGTTTTTTGAACAAATAAAATGCAATAATAGCTAATAGCTATAAAATGCATGACAGTAAAATTTGTTTAAATTATTTATTTGTTTAAAATTATAGTTATACTTTCACAGAGAAAAGTATAACTATAATTTTAAACAAATAAATGATCCCAAAAACACACATAAATTCCATTTATTTGGATATATTTTTAAAATACAATACAGTACTTAACACATTAAAACGTGAGAATTGATTGACTATAAATAGTTGAATGAAAGGTATTGAGTCACTAAGCCAGCATCTCCATCTGCAGACAATATTATAACTTCGGAGTAAAGGCTCCACAAGTTTATGACTCATTTACTACTATGAGAAAACGTGATTCATCAATGGAAGTTACTTTTTACTAAATTTTATTATTTTTTATTGACAGATATATATCGCATATTTTTGTAAAGTGACGCTTGAAAAAATTGCCAATACAGGTTTATTTTTTGACGTCAATTAGATTGTTGATATTTTAAAAGAACCATCAAGTGTTGTTAGGCATTTAGAGAAAAAAAAAATGGAGCTGAGTACGGAAAATAATATTTTTTTTTTATAAATAACACAAGATTTAATTATTTGTAATTTCAAATGGTGCAATTTGTTCATAATATTTATGTCTGGGTCTTTTTCTACATCTCCGGTGTTGTGTTCGAAATAACTCAACGGCTTTTGAATGGACTCTCGTCTGATTCATCGAGAAATTCTGAGGACCACCTATAGCAGATATTTCCATAAATTGAGATTTCCTCTAAAAATAACGAATATCTTGGATTTTACCACTAGTCTGTAGTGTCTAGAATTTCTATAAAGCAATCATACAATTGCATCTCTTATTTTTTCTAAAACAATAAGACATAAACAACGATTTTTGAGACCGAGAATAGCCATTTGCAGAAGTCATCATATAATATAATTCCAAACTATTCAAGTAAGGTGTCTTTCATAACTGCTTAAAATAACCTTGCTTTATTTTAAATTCGTTTAAGGTTAATGTATGTTTTAAAAATATATATGAGATATGTTCTAATTCATTATTAATATGTATCCATAACATGACTGTAAGTATATAAGAATACATTCTTTTTTAATTTTTAGCCAAATTCCTTAAAGGCTATAGGTTATTAGTAATTTTATATAACAATCACTGAAATGCCTCATACCTGTACAAACTATTACTGCGATCGTTTTAGTTTATTATTATTTCATCGCATTATTTTATACTTACAAAGCTCTACAAAAACCCCTTAGCAAAGCAGTGTCTATCATAATCTTACCTAATATGTACACAGATACATTGTATTCATATAGCAAGCAGTAATTTAAGTTAGCACATTCGAAGTAGATTTCGAAAATAATGCAGAAAAATCAGTAGGCATTCAATAGATCAAAGCCATTTCAATTATAAAAGGTACCGAAAACTTACTTTATGATCTTTATGTCACAATAATTTATTTCATCGATTGTCATTTTAACCTATACAGCACTAATGGAGTTTATAAATAGACTAGGAGTAAACACAGCGATTATTTTTAACAAGCCATCTTATCCACTTCTCCATATTTATATGTTGTAAAAATCATGCTTCATTTTACATATTAAGCTATTATCCTCGTTTACATGCTGATTGAACAAACATAAACTTCCTTAATATATGTTATAAAAATATTTATTTTAACATTATAAAAAAGGAAATATAAATAAACATGATTAACCTATCCTTGTATTGTAAACTACAACAACGTAACAAAACATACAGTCAGCTCCGATATTCTTGTCAAATTATACTACAAGTAAACTTTACTTGGCACGTATTTTCTAAAAAACAGTAAAAACTCTTTTAGAATTTATTTATACTTGAATGGTTTACATTGTTTGCTGAGTAAAATTTTACGTAGATTCAAATTTTTGAAAGGGCTTTGAATACTATGTGGTAAAGAAGAAAGTGCATCATAGAACTAAGTTAGGCGATAATTAAATCTGTAAAAGAGTTAGGGGATTTTATTTGAGTAATTTCTGTTATCCACAAAATCAAACATAAGTATATTCAAACCTGTTTCTATTGAATTGCTAAATGCCAATGTGTAAGAACATGTTATTATAGTTCCTAAAACTGTTAATAGTCGCCAGCTCCAGATGCAGCTCATTTTGCCAATGTTTTCTTTATAGCAATATTAAAATGTTTCAAAATAAATTCGGTCCCATCTATAACTTGTTATTCAATCTTCTATATAACAAGTTTCAATTACATCAAAATTAATGATGCACAAAACCAGACATCGCCGTCTCAATCACAGTCGATGTAAACACTTAAAACTCTGTAACACTGAGTCACTTCTAGTTACACCATATGCGCGTTAAGTATAATGACATTTAGTTTTTTACATTTTGAAGATAAAATAGCAGTGAGCAGTTATAAAGATTCGAGTACGTTCTCACACTATACAACTGTATATAATTAGGTCACTATAAGTTTGATATTTTAGTACGCGCCGCGTCATTTAAAGAGTTACGCGACCAGCTCGCTGCGTGTACTCCGACGGAATGTAGAATTTACAATAAAGTATTGGACATACGTGCACGAATAGCGCGCTCCCTACCATCACCGCCATCAGAATAAGATAACACCATATCGTCCACCATACAATGAAACGAGACACCCAAAAACTACTTTTAGTGATACTACACATTATAAAGTAAACATTTCTTTTGATTAGCTAAATATTCTCTTTGTTATATTAATTATTAATAATGTTTGAGCTATAGAGCATGAATTTTATTACATATTTATAGATTAGTTAACGGATTCTGACTGCAAAAATAGAATTTGAATTCAGGTTTTCTAAAAACTTGTCGATCAAGATATGATTTTAAATAAATGTGGCTCATTTTATTTGAATAACTTATTGCACATATGTTTTATATAAGTTTACAGATAAATTCATATAACAAATACTTTTAAATAAATAACAATAAATGTTTTCCTTTTAAATATGTTTATAGAATATAGTGAAATTGGTCATTGTTTGTCGTTAAATTGTATCTACTTTAGTGATAGATTATGATGATATAATATGATCGTTTTAGATTCCGTATCAATAATATCACCTGATCAGTAACTAGATATCAATAAATAAAAATAGATTCTTTTTTCAATTTTATTTATGTTGACAGTTTTATATTTACTGTTTGAACGTAAAGAATGAAGAAATAAAAGTATTTGAATTATAAAGCTGAATGCTATAATCCAACCAATACTGTCCACAAGTTTACGCACGTGGTAGGACGTCATTAAGGTTCAGAACTTAACGGTTACGTATGTTAAATGTATCAAATAATTTTATAGGGTACAGGCTTTAGGACATCAAAATTATTTACTGGTCATAAGGCACAAATTTCTTCATCTCGCACAAACATCTCAATAAGAGACAGTGACCTGTAAAAATAATATTGACGGTCCTAATACGCTTATTACACTTCATAAACATATGCCCATAATTATACAAGTTCAATAACTTCTAAAATATATTTTGATGCAGAGTTAACTCAGGACTGTCGCTTGCCTTAACCGTGCTATAAGTACATATAATGAAATATTTCGTACCAACTTCGTAAGTCCTTACAAAAATTTATGAGGAAAGTAAAATATTTAACCTTCGTTAATGTTTCCTACAAGGTCGCAAGCAATTTAACGCTCGATATGTTTTAGCTTCATCAAATTTAAATTATCAGTTTAGGCTTTATATAGCATAACGATTTTAGGATTCAGTTTTTAAATTACGCCTATGAATTTTCATTCAAATTAATTGCTTTTTAAACAAGATATACCCTGAATAAATTATATATTATTAAGATGTACTTTTATATAATAAGTAACTTTTGTCTGTATATAATAAGCAACTTTTGTGGGCAAATTCAATGATGGTATGACAATATTAAAGGCCTATATTTTCTTTTTTGTCCTATATATTTTGTTCCCCCGCTATCAGTATAGAATACGACATATAATATTGGAAAGGTCAGTGTATTTATAAGCCACATCACTACTATTAACATAAGGCATTAGAATATTATAAGGATATGTATACATAAGACATCATGTATGTATGTAGGCATACGCTTGACTAAGTTATTTAGACGTGGTATATCTTTAATGGACAAGGACTAACTAGGTAAACGCATCAATAGTATGCTATTCTAACGAGAGAAAAATTATCAATTTTTTTAATTTATCGTCCTTCATTTTGGCAACCACTAAAATAATGTATTGAAGTGTACATACTTTTTGTTTTTACAAGTTTATTATTTAACTGCCTTTTATTGAAAGTAGCCAAAGCTTTTTAAAATTATTTTATTTATATGTTATAGAGGGATAAGATTTCATTGGTTTTACAATGTTTTTAATACGATGAAGAATTTTAACGTACATATATTTCACAAAAAAAAAATATGCACTAGATTGTCCTTTGATACTAATCTTAAATTTTATTTACTCCCCTATCCAACCTTTTAAATAAAAAGTAAGTGTTCCAAATTTTTTATTATTTTTTTCAGAGAAGTCAAAACATCCTAAAAAGTTTCTTAGTTATTTGACCTAAATATAACCCCTAAATATTCAAATTAACTACTTAACCAAACACTGTAACATGTGGGGCTTTGAGGAACACTGAACAACTCGGTACCTAGTTATTGAAACTATATAAATATATGAATACTATGATAATCTAAGAAAAGATATACAGAAAACGATCTGGCCAATATTATACATATTTGTCTTATGTTCTATATTCTAATATTCCTATTTTATTAATATTATTTTTCTTAGGTATACCAGTTCATATTTATTATTCTAATACATAATATTAATGGATAACTATACCCATTTAAATGTTACATTACTTAGCAAAATCTGAGTGGGTAGAGAGTGACAGACATATGTCATCCCTCTTAGAATCCTCAATGGACTTCAGTACTTCAAAGGAAAATAACTCTTCATATGTATTTTTATTATCTCTATTGAAATTGACGCATGCTAAGAACTACCGCTTGTTCATTAAATATATTCAAATACCTTCCAGGCAAACCAAATTTGACTTAAAATCGAAATATAAACAGAAGATACTAATTTACTAATATTATAAATTAAATTTAAAATAACCCCTTAAAAGTTTCACTTACGTTTTGATTTCATAAAACCACACTATATTTTTCGCTTAGACTCATTTTATTTATATCATAGATTTGATTTTATAAAGAATATCTAAATTATTATAAAATTAATCATTTGCTTTAAAACTTAAGTATTTCATATCTTATTTAAACACTCCGAATACTGCTGTTTAATATTAAACTTATCAAACATTAGGAAAATACATAGATATCATTAGTTATGTAACGAGTGTAATGTCCTTAAAAATGAATACAAGGGAATTATAATGATTTATTTATTTATTTTGGATATTTAAATTTTATGTTTGGTTTTTACAGTTTGTTCGCGAAGACCTTGCAAAACCTAAACTAATAATTATTTATAACATGTTAGTTACAACTAAAAAACTATAATAGAAAAGTAACCTGACTAATTATAATTTATTTATATAATTGAAAAAAATGTAAAAAATTAGGCAGATTAAACACAATGTTTAAAACTAATTAAAAAAAATAGTTTCATCTTTTTTGTGAATAAAGTTTAGACAGGTAAATAAGTACATTATACATAGAAAATGAATTTCATGCTATTGCCAATAATCTCCTTTCCTGATAATAGTTGAGTTTTTAAAATGTCACAATAATATACACGAAATAAAATATGAGCGACTTTTTAAAATAGCTATCTTGTTATCTATTTGTTTACATGTTAAATATTTTGTAGTACACAAAATTTATTGTGGTTTAAATAAAACGTTATTTTTATGATTTTTAAATAAACAAGCCATACGTCACAAACATTTATATAAAAAAATGGAACAGGATTAAAAAAAAATGGTCTTCAAAATTATTCAAATGTCGTTAACAAACAATAACAGGAATAATATCTTTATATATTCACGACAACAGCACGTTTGTTACTTTAACGAAAGTAAAACATTTTGCCTCGTAATTAAATTGCAAGGGTAATGAATTTACGATCCTCAGGGAATATTATAAAACAGCTATGAGCAAGGCCTCACAGTGAAGAAATAAAGTAATGAAAGCCTTTTAAATGTTATTTTATGTTGTAAAAAATGCAGCATTCTATTACAAAATAACTTTTCTAGTAACTGAAGTTATAAATGAATTAATCACCTTTTACAAGAATAAGATACAAGTTTTTAATGGTTTTTAATATATATTAAATTTTGTATTTTATATTCCTCTTATGAATTTGTGAGTAATTATATAAATCTAGAAAAGAAGAATTTAAAAGTAGAAGAAGAAGAAGAAGAAGAATTTATTTATATTATTTTTGCCATTGGACTTGTAAGGCATAAGAACAATTGCTCCATCATAAATTAGTTCCTCTGGCCCGTATTATCAATTGACCTAGTACCTAGGTTTAGTAATGATTTTCGTAGGAAGAACGTTCCTGAGTTTTGCCAATTTTTTTTTGTGTGAAAAGAATATACATACCTCAACAAAGACTCTTTTTTTATTAATCTATAACTTCATTCATACTAGAATTGTAAAATATTTTGTCATCTGCCACCATGTCATGATAAAAAGGAAAAAGAATAAAGTAAAGAAATATGAATTATAAAATAATTACGATTATTTAAAATGAATGATATATGTGTATCTATAGAATATCTCAACAGCTATGGAAAAAAAGTTCACTAATATAATTTACAACTTCGCTTAATTATCGACAATCACTGAATTATACTATATAACTACAAAATCAATGTTAAAATATAGTATTTCTAATATTGTGTAAAAACAAATTTAAAGATAGTGCAATCACAAATAAATACTGAGACAAGTTGACGTCCCATCTCACAAAATATATTATCTCGGGATTTGTTTGCTCTGCGATAACGATACGGTAAAAAATAATTTAAATAGTTTTTAATTATTCGACTTTCATGTACTAAGCATCTCTCATAAATAACAGATACGGGAAATACCAAATATTATTTTCCAAGACATATTAAGAATGGTTTTTTTCTTA